AAGAGATTGGGTGCGGTTCAATGAGGAGAGAAAAAAGGAAACAAATCTGCCAGTGCAAGGCCCTGAGCAAAGTTTTGCTGAAGGAGAGAAAGCAGCACCTGAAGAAGTGGAGGAGGCTAGTCCACCTTTAAAAACATCTCTGGCAGAGCCGCAGGTTTTTCCTGTCATGGCTCGCTGGGAACCCCCAGCCGGCAGCCCGTGGGGGGAAGCGGCCCCTCAGGCCTATCCGGTCAACGTTGTAAAAGAACTAAAAAAGGCTGTTGCTGAGGCCAGGACTTTATCCTCAGCCTTGCAGGCTCAGACACAAAACTTAACCAAAGCCTTCAAAGCGTTTACCGCCCTGATCCGCTCAGAAAACAATACTTCCCCACCCTTCAAGGGACAATGTTTTGGTTGCAAAAGACAAGGTCATTTTAAAAGCCAATGTCCCAAGGCTAAAGGCAAAAAATCCCCTACCACACCTTGCCCCCCGATGTAAAAAAGGATTTTATTGGAAAAAGGACTGTAGGTCCAAATTTGACAAAGCCCCCAGTGGAAATAGGCCGGCTGCTTGGTACCCTTGGGAAGCTCATGACCTTAAAGAGCAGAAAAAGGCTGTCGCAGAGGATGGGCTCAATTCCCCATGGGCAGTAACCATCCTCCAGGGCTTAGCGCACCAACCCTGCACGACCTAAGATTGGAAAATGCTCTGTAAGGCTGTCCTCCCCCCAAACTTGTTTGTCAAGTTCTGTGCCTTCTTTAAAAAAGAGTGCCATGTGCAGGCAGAGATAAATCAAGCAGTAGTGTTGCCCAATGCCACCAACCCGGGACTCACCTTCCCGCGGGTCCTTGGCAAAGGTTCCTGTGTAGGTGCCAACAAACCCTTTTGTAGCACTGTGGCAAATCTCACCACCCCCAAAACCTGAAATAAGCGGACCCAAAACAAGTGGGCCACAGGGGCAGCTGTGGTGGCCATCAGCTCCCTCTTGGGAGTTATTGGAGCGGGTACCAGGATCGCCAGAATAGCCTTGGCACATCAACAGGTAGCTTCCCTTAGGGAGGCAGTGGACATAGATTTTGGC